GGGCAACAGTGAGCTGCATGGCTGGGTCGGCAGCACTGGAGCTGGTGCCTGTGCTTGCTGGTGGGGGCAGCTGGAAGACACTGGAGGGCTGGGGGGGGGGGGGAGGCAGGGGAAACTTAAATGAGGCAACTTCTATATTTCTTTGTTCCTCATACTGAAGACAACAGGTCATGATTCACTGCCACAAGGAGGATGGTATAGAGCATCCTTCTCATTATATCCTTTTTCTCTAATGAGAACTTCCTTAGCTAAAGCACTTTCACTTATTCATAAACTTTCCATTTACCTGCTAAAAAATGTATGGATTGGCAGAAGAGAGCAAACATTGCACCCTGCTATTGCTCATATCTGCCCTTCTGGGTCTTCTGAGTTTACTCTGTTTTCTTTTGCTAACTATCATAAATGATCTTATACTACTATCAGCACTCCAGAGTAAATACACGTGAGGAATAATAAAAAGTGGTATTGCTCCATCGACAACATAGCAAGTTGCTGCACTTGGGTTCCAGTATTTCTGTTTATGCCTTACACCAAACAGGAAGGGGTAGTTCTGAGCAAGGTGGGCAGAAATGCACAATTTTCCAGTTTGTGAGAAATTTCAATGGTTTAAAATTTGATTTCAGCCTAAATGAGGGGCTCCTGGAGTCACAGATCCTGGAAGTAGGAGGTTCTACTGCTCTGATGCAGCCTGCCTGATCAGCTTGAAAACACTGGGGTCCCTACCAGTCTAACAGTCTCTAATGGTGACTTTGAATCACAGAGTTGCAACCCTGGGAAGTTTTGGACAAAACATTTATTTATTTATTTTTCTATAAAGGCAACATAAGTAATTTCCAAACAACTCACGCTACTGTCTAAACATGACAGTGTTATTTCCTCTGGGAAGATATGAGCCACTATAAAGGTTCTGGAGTCCTAACTCAGCTAGCTACTTCACTGTTACACGTTGTGGAACTGAATATTACTTTACTATTCCATAAGTCTATTTGCCCTGTACTGCTGACAATGCTTACCGTCCTCATTGGATACTTTGTTAATATTTCTCTTTTTGTTTTTTTTAAGTACTGAAGAATCCCTTAACATAAAATCTCCACCTCCAACATAAATAGATGACAGCAACAGGAGGAGATTTGGAAACCATTTCATAGACCTAATCAGTAGGCTTGCGTGAAGCAGCTAGTATTCGCTTCAGATTTGCATTATTTCAGGGGACAGTGATTGGATTTGGTGATTCGAGTCACTATCCTGAATCAGTTTGGATGAATCTGATTCGGATATTTGGCTGCTGCCGGATCAGGTAGGCCCAGCCCCTGCCCGCTCTCTCAGCCCAGCAATGGCTGCCCCGCCACCCCAGCTCCCAGCATTTTGAGAAAAAAAAAGCCCCGACTCAGTAGGTGCTGCTGGTCAGGGAGGCAATCCCTGATGCCCCCCACTGCCCCATGCTGTATGGGGGACTCTGCATGAGCCCCCGGCCCTCTCCTAGCTCCCCCAACCCCCCATGGCCGCCCCACCCATCTCACCTCCAGCCCTTTAAGAAAAAAAAAAACAAAAACAAGAAAAACCTGAGACTCACTATTTCTGCCCAGTGGGGAGCAATCCCCACTGCCCCACGCACATGGGGGCCTCTTCCACGAGCTCCCTGAAGCCCCAAGGCTGCCGTAGGAGTGGTGAGTCCCAGGGTTTTTCTCATTTTTTTTATTTCTTAACAGACTGGAGCTGCGGCAGGCAGGGCAGCCATGGAGGGGCTGGGGGAGCAGATGGGGGTTGTGGGGGGCTCATGGCAGAGCCCCCCACACAGCACGGGGCAGTGGGGGGCAGCAGGGAT